CTCTCTCTCTCTCTCTCTCTCTCTCTCTCTCTCTCTCTCTCTCTCTCGCTCTCTCTCTCGCTCTCTCTCTCTCTCACCGCTCTGCAAGCACACGCACACTGCTGGCGTTCATATTGACCCGCCCCCTATCCGTGTACGTTAGGACCTCTGGGATACACAGACCTCCCATACACTCCTCCATGACCACCCACATGACAAGGGATAGCTGAAAGGGCAATGGCTATATCAATACATTGCAGCTAAGATCCTATCTGACCCAGACTATACAGACGCAGAGCAGCCGTCATTGTTCACATCACATTTAGGAACAGTGGAAACCTCGGACTTCCTAATGGTCCTAATACCAATCTCTGACCCAAAGAAGCTCGCTCAGCTCAGTCGTTCTGCCGTTACATCTGCACTAGCGAGGCTTGAAGCTGACTGACGTTTGCTTTAAAAATAAAAAGAGAAATCTGCATGGGGAAAGCAAATCAGGAACACTATGCCACTTTAATAAGTGTCCTTGAGCAAGATTCTTAACAGCCCTCTGCTGTAGTGGAGCTGCACAGTGGTCAAAAGTGGCACGCGTGAAGTAGGTTATTTTTGCCATCTGCCAGTTGCCTAGCAAAAAGTCCCTCGTTGATTAAATATTTAACGAGACAAAGCGTCTGCACCCACGCTAACCGCTCGGCGAGCCTGTTTTAATCACAGCAAGTCTTTGTTAACCTGCTGTTGTTCAGCACGCACAACGTTTGCCACGTTCACTCTCTTAGTTCATTAGCGTTAGCTTGCTAATATTTGTGACACAGTACAGATGAGGCTAATGGGAATGTCATTGGTTTTGCAGATGTTTGGTCAAACAACAGTATGAGTCGTATTTGAAAGATGAAATGGTGGTTTTAAAAGAATAGTCAGGGATAATAGTTATTATCAAAGTTTTTATTACTACTCATCTTAAGAAGGACATGAATAGCTCTACTACATTTTCAGGCAAACCATCCTTTAGTTATTAAGACATTTTATTTAAAACCACCCTTCATGGTGGCACTAGAGGAAACGCCAGTGTAGAGCCGGGCCACTGGCTGATAAATATTATGTCAGTATATTAGCAGAGCTACAGTGTCCAAGGGCTTTATTACTATACGCTAAATATGTTGGGAACATGTATGATTTATTTAAGTTGTTTAAGTTTTGCGCGTGGGAACTATCAGACCAACCATCCATGAGATGATGCACTGGCATCAGCTGGTAAGTAGATCACACGCTTTCACACACACACATATATAAACACACACACACACACACACGCGCACACACACACACAGTTCTTTACATCCCTAGTTGACAACACTTTCTCACTCCTCTGCTCCTTCCCACCTGCCCTCTGTCTTTCTTTCTCTCTCTGTCTCTGGATGGTCTCTGGTCCTTCCCTGCATCCCGCCACAGTTGAGCAGATTGTGTCTGTATTCCAAGCTGCTTCCAAACAAAAGGCATGGGACCATTTCTCCAAAGCTCAGCGCAAGAACCTGGACATGTGGCGCAAACAAGCAGAGGTTAGTACACTTTGATTTCTATCTGTGGTTCAACTGATTTATTGATATTTAGACCTCATCCCATTCTGTTCAACGGCTGTCTCCCTCTTTACTCTTATGAAGTTCTGTTTTTTTTAAATAGATAGATAGATATTACATTAGGGCTACATAATTATACTCAAATTCATACAAGAGAGGGGGGGGGAAACAGGTCAAATCAGAAGTCAAAAGAGCAGACTCCTTGTTACAGTAAGTACTTTGAATGAAGCTAGGATACAGAAAAGGTACCTGCTCACTCCAGCCATTGTGAGATAGGGACACACCCAGGTGTGCCCCTCCCTCCACCACTGCCCTCCCCATTGGATACAAGCTGCTGGGTGAGTGTCCTGCACACAGGTAAATCCGTACAAGCCTTCTCCCCCTGCACCAACGAATCGGAAGGTTTTCTGAGTGGATGAGCGAGGAGGAATATCTTGAGACATAAAAGCGTATTCATTTCAATTCACACTGCTACTAGGTTTGAAAACAAATGAGCCTTCTTTTTTTTTTTCTCCGCCAAATTGAGCATTACAGTAATTAGCATGATGCCGCATTGTATGTAATGGAGGGTCTGGATTGTGGTACAGTCCTGGGTCTAATGGACTCATGTGTGATTGGTAAGTTTCTTTGAATATCAATATACAAAACCAACAGATTTAAGGTGAAGCAGCAATCAACTTGTACAAAAACGTCTCTTTTAAAGGTAGGTGTTGGAAAGCTTGTTGGTTTAATGCTCAGACCTTGAGGGTCTCTCAGGGATCTATTCTCCTCTGTACAAACACAGTAGCAAGTGTTCAAATCTATTATGTGGGTACCAGAGTGATTTTATCATTCTTTTTTCTTAATTCCTTTAAAGAGTTACTGTATACACACTGCCTACACCAGGGAGTACAGCATGACCGTAGATTCAAGCGAAAGAGACCACTATGGCTGGGCGCTCCACTGCAGAATATGTCCTCCATTTAGAAAAAAACTCCTTTAAAAGACATCCTGGTTCGAACATTCTTTGTAGTGTTTCTCTTCCAGCTACTTTACACTTAATTATAGCCGTGAGAATAGACTTTATTGCCATTCAGAGTGACACCACACTGTGTTTTACAAGTGTTTGTGTCTCAGAGTGAGAAGCAAACAGACAGATGAAGTCATTTGGAAGCAAAAGGTTCAGCACTGGCCCAAATTGAGTCTGTCTCTCTCTGGAGCCGTCTGTTGGTGTTTAAGTGAGTTTATGCACAGTAGGGAAACAGCCCAGAATCAGAAGATATGTGAGGTCACAACTAACTGGTAGAAACGAAACCTTTCCCAAAGGAAAGGAAATATAGATTAACCGACTCGTATTTTTTCCACCTAGCCAGCATAATCAATATTTTTATATTTACAATAGATCAAATCACTACTTGTATGTCAAAGGGGGCCGTTCACAGTGACAAACTCACAGACAATTATCACCTGACTCTGCAATCAACCTCAGCTCGACACAGCATTTTAGTTTTACGTCCCTTTAGGTTCACTCTCTCCGCTCTCACTTGCTCAGCATTGTTTCTAGCAACAGCATGCAGCTGTTGGAGTTAGCAACTAGCTGGTGAACTTAATGGAGCATTTAGCAGCAACAGAGACCAGTATTTCCCTCAGAAGTCAAAGGTAAAAAAGGGGTTGAATATTGGACTTCATCATGACTCCAAATTAATTTCAATGTTACTCTGTGTCTTCTGGATGTATAAATAAGCAGGTGTTCGATAAGCCCCAGCAATTTTTTAAGGTATTGATAAGTTATTTACAGCTTGTTTACCCTGCGTGAATAAATCTTCATCAAACATAGAAAACACAGCCTTGTGAGGCTCATCCAGTTGATCCAATATTCACTCACCTTTTTGGGTTTGGTCACCGCCAACTACTGAGCAAAAATATGTGACTCGGCTTGCTGGATGCTGGTTGTTTACTTCAGCTCTCTGTCATTTATCGCTGGGCTGATAGAGCACACTCAGCTTGTCTGCCTTTGGTTTTATATGTGGGAGTAATAAGAGCTGAGAGACCCGACCATACATTCTGTGTGAATGCTGCATCGAGCTGCAGAGGTGGGTGCTAATTCTCAGTGACCGTCTGCACAAACTGGTCATTCTTTTACATTACACTGAGGGATTTGACTCAAAATCAGACATATGGCTCAATGCAGGTTTATTTTCACACTGATCACAGAAAGGCTGCAGCGCATTGCACTGGCAGCCACTGGCCAGTGTAAAGGGCATAGGTAAGTAAGTGCAGTTGCTCAGGGGTAGTTCGTCATCAAATAGGCAGCCAGTTTCACTCTCAGTCATATTGTATATTCAGTATGATTCTCTGGCCCGGAGGTGAAATATGGAGGAACAAGCAGCGGCGCTGAGTCGCTGCAGCTCGCAGGCAGAATCAGACAACAGCTGCCTCGCTCGATCTGTCTCTGTGTGTGCGTGTGCGTGCGTGCGTGCGGAGTACCTGTTTGACCTCTGCCATGGGCTCGAGATGATAACGTCAGCTGACAGATGTTTGTAAGTTTGTTTACTCTTGGGCAGTTTCTGAGCTTCTTAGCATTATCTTTCAGCCTGTTGTTCTCTTTCATTGATGGAGCACTTGTGTCTCTGTCCACTGGTGGTGTTTATATAAATGTGTTTCAATACCAACTTGGTAAACTTGTAAAGTGAGAACTCTTAACCCTTTTTAACTTTATTATGTATTTAGTATTTATGTTGCTAACTAGATGACAGATATCCTTGTCTGTGAAATATATCATGTAGGCTTTATTAAGACTGTGGAGTTACTAAAGGTGAGTAAAGTCATATTTTAACAATGTTATCAACCCAAACAATGGTTGGCTAATTTCCTAACTGGCTGAACTCGTTATAGAAGGTGACGCGTCGTCTACACTACCCAGTAAAGCGTTAGTCAATGTCTTTTTCAGCCAGGACCGCGATAATTCAGTATTATTGCTTATCATCGCTTCAATAATAGTATAGTGACGAGATATTCTTTTAGAGATATAACGTCTAGATAATGGAAAGTTACATTTTCAGAGCATGAGAACATTTTAAAGTATTTTGAAGTTTTGGGTAACACTTTATAATAACTACACAATACGAAGCATTAGTTAAGTATGAGTAAACACTTAATTCATCATTTATAAAGCATTGTTCCTACATTAATAATTCATTAGTATGCAGTTCATAACAGTTATAAATGTTTTATTCTTGATTAATAAGCTTGTCTATTACGTGTTTCGTTATTGATGGATTACCCATTTGTAAATGAAGTATTATATATTTTACAAACCAATTATTAAGGAGTTGTAGATGATTAATAAGATAGTTTATAAAGTGTTGGTAAATGATGAATAACCTATTTAGATGGACATTATTCATGCATTTATATATATGATTTAGATATACACTAGTGGTTAGGGACTATGTTAATATATGCTTTATAAACACATATTAATACTGCAATTCATGATTAATTCATGATTGATTAAGGTAGTTACTACTCGTTAGTAAAGTGTTTTATGTGACCTCATCTAAAGTGAGGACTATTTATGCCTTACAAAGCATTTATAAATGACATTGAAAGGCCAGCAGTGCCTCAAGACACATAGTTTTTGAACAGAACAGGCAAATAGACACAACACAAAGTGATCAAGAACATATCAATATTTATTGCAAGATGCAAAGAATATACTGTTAAATACAAACCTCTCAGCCATTAATTCATGTAAGAAACAAACAAACAAAGACATTCTCCTTCAGGAGAACATGGCTGTATATAAAACATTTGTAAATGTACGACTGGAGCTAACCAGGAGCTTTGCCTATTAGTTTACATTTACTTATTTAATTATTCATTTTAACCAAGCATATATCTTAAATCAAGGCAATATATGCTTGGTTTTTGTCTGACAAGATATTTCTTCTTACAGTTTTTATGTTCGAGCATTTCACTTGTTTCAAGCGTTTCAGTCCTTAATTATCTTAATAAGGTATTATAACTTGTTACTGAGATTGTATTACTGGTTCTGAGCAAGTTAATGCTTGAAACTAGAATTCCCATAATTATAAGGCTGTTTGATCACCACTGACAAGTACAAAACGGCTTTGTCAAAGTCAGAATTTCTTATTTCAAGCATCCTAACCTTTTCATCAACGACCAAATGGAATTCATTGTTTTATTGTCAATCTTACAACACAGCACAGCAATGATGTATTCCTATAGCCACAATGCAGTACAGAGCAAAGACAGAACAAACGTTCTCCTCAGCCTGTCTCGTCCTTTAGCGAGTTAAAGTGAGTGAGCGCTGTGCTAACATCTCATTTGGAATATAAAGGTTGCCATTACATTCATCTGGCCAAGATGTCGTTATGAACATAAGCAGAAATGCCATGTGATATTTCTGTACATCTAAATAGACTCTTAATACATTTGATCTAACAGACATTTAAAACAACCTCCAATAAACACAGCCAGCATTATACCAAGATTCAGATGATTTACTGTATTTAGGTAACTATCTTTATAATTACGTATTTTCACAGCCGTGTACTTAAATACAGAAATGATGTGTAAAAGGGTATTTTTAGATGGAGCCATTATTTTTTGAAATGCATTATTTATGTATTTCTATATATTATTTATAATCCATCCAGTTAAATTGGAAAACTGAGAATAATAATTGTTAAAATATAATTGATGTGTACTTTCTTTATTTGATTTGACAGTTGTTGACTACACAGAGACGTTGTTACTATATATATGGCACTAATTAGTTATTGCCTCAGAGCTGTCCAGGTGTCTTCTGTGGAGTTGTTGAAAACAGTAGGCGCAGGTTAAATTCAATTCAATTTATTTTTGTATAGACCAAAATCACAAATCACAAATTTGCCTCAGAGGGCTTTACAATCTGTACACATACGACATCCTCTGTCCCAGGACCCTCACATCGGAACAGGAAAAACTCCCCCAAAAACCCCTTTAACAGGGAGAAAAGAGGAAGAGACCTGTGGGAGAGCAACAGAGGAGGGATCCCTCTCCCAGGATGGACAGAAGTGCAATAGATGTCATGTGTACAGAATGAACAACATTTACAGAGTTACAACACATTCAATGTACACGACAGAGCCACGGCAGGAGGCAAGACCAGGGTCCAGGTATCACCAGGATCCATGGAAACCTGCGAGGTGGAAAAGCACAGAGACTCCGGGGAAGGAGCAAAGTCAGTAATGTGCGTTAATGGTACCGCGAGGAGAGAAAGCACAAAGAGTGAGAATGAGAGCATAAAAACCATTAAAAATCCATTAAAAAGGATTTGGTAATCCTTAAATTATCATGGTGTCACCAAACATACTAAGCCAAATTTTAAAAAAAAGTGCTAACGGACATATTTTGAATCCAATGTTACAGGTCAGATATGCTACTGGATTACACGACAGGAGTTTGGTGAGAGTATATTACCCCATCATCTTACATTGACACTGGTAGTACCCTCACACAGACTAACACATGACATACTTGAGGAAGAAGACTGACCGCCCATTATTAACACTGACAGCAGCCTGTTGACCAACACAGCGAACCATGCAGGATGTAAGAACTGTCTCTCCCCGACAGTTCAAACGCTCACCGACAGCATCAGAACAAGCAGCCATGGAATCTCTTGATGCATGTGCCACAACAGCAGCAGTGGCCAATGACCAGTGCCAGATATAAATATGATCCATAACCTGTTAGTGAATGATAGCATAAAGACACTGTCCTAATGTAGGAGGTTAGAGTAAATCCCAACATTGGACATAGTTAATTATTTTACAACTGTATGATTATAAATACTATATTTCAAAATATCACTCCTATAAGCAAAGCTCTCTAAGTTAATGCGAAGTACCCTAACGCATGTTGGCACATGATTTAAATACAGACCGCCCTCCATCGACACTCTTGAAACAGCAGCCCAACACAGCGACATGTCATCATGCAGGAGTTAAGAGACGCGACTGTCTCTCCCCGAGAAGCCTGGGAAATGAATCTTGCATATGACACAACTATGGCAGAGGCAAGACTAAAGGTCTTTGTGACACGTCAACAATCTAATTCTATTCCAGAACATGCACTTACGCGATCTAAAACTCCGACCTAAGTTGAAAGGACGCGCGGATCCGGGCCAGAAAGAATGATTGCTGACGGTTCTCCAATGCCCGTCTGTTTGTTTCTTAGTTTGCTGGCATGTAACGTTACACATTATGGAGGATGAGCATCCAGCTAGCCTTATTTGCCTTTTCTGTTCAAAAATGATGTGTCTTGAGGCACTGCTGGCCCTTCAATGTCATTTATAAATGCTTTGTAAGGCATAAATAGTCCTCACTTTAGATGAGGTCACACAAAACACTTTACTAACGAGTAGTAACTACCTTAATAAATCATGAATTAATCATGGTTGCAGTATTAATATGCGTTTATAAAGCATATATTAACATAGTCCCTAACCACTAGTGTATATCTAAATCATTATATATATAAATGCATGAATAATGTACATCTAAATAAGTTATTCATCATTTACTAACACTTTATAAATTATCTTATTAATCATCTACAACTTCTTAATAATTAGTTTGTAAAATATATAATACTTCATTTACAAATGGGGAATCCATCATTTATAAAGTATGAAAACACAATAATGAAACGCATAATAGATGGGCTTATTAATCAAGAATAAAACATTTATAACTTATGAACTGCATACTAATGAATTATTAATTTAGGAACAATGCTTTATAAATGATGAATTAAGTGTTTACTCATACTTAACTAATGCTTCATAGTGTGTAGTTATTACAAAGTGTTACCAAGTTTTGTTCTAATGAAACGCAGAAATTAAGTTTTTCTTGCTGTTTTATTATTTTTCTTCGACATGTGAACGTGTTTGTCTGACCCTGACCTCAATGTCCGTGGTCTACTTGTGTTTGCGTGGACGTTTTTCTGAGACCTTCAAGCCCCTGAGTGGAAAATGGGTATCGGTCTGTGTCTCTTGACAGCACTGTGCGCTTGATTCTCCTGCTTCATTATCATAAGACCTCTTGTTTTTAATAGAAACACTGTTTGCTACTGTAGCTAAACATCTGCTCACAACAGGGAATGAAAGCGGAGCGATCGCTTCGTCCGTGTGTTCATGGTTTGGGCTTATCATGGACCGTCTACTGTGTGTAAAGCATCACCAGGATTCTCTGGACACGGACCTGAAGGGTTTGGTCTTATATACAGCCAATCCAGTCCATCGGTTTGACCTTAATCTTTAAACCATTTTGAAACCTGCTTCTGGTTACTGGTCTCGAGATGGATAAAGTCATTAGTTATTCTGCCTGTAAGGGTAAAATGAAACTGATAAGAGTGGTGTTTTACAGTTACTGCTGTGGGTTTCCAGATGTGGGTGTAGAAAAACCAACAGCACACATTGTAAACAGAATATGCTCAAAGACACATTTCATGCCTTGTCATCTTAAATCTGTGTTTCCTGACGTGATGGTGCTTTTGACATTTTTGACAGGAGGTGTTGTTGTTGTCACACACGTATCGTGTATTTTAGCTGCCTGAATGTGAACGATTTCTCCCAAGAAACAAGAACGGCGAAGTACAAAACTGTGGGGTCTGGCTATATTTGTGCTACCATGTGCCCTATCCCTGTGCCAGAGGAATGTAGCTCCAGCTCTGATTCATCTGCACTGCTTTGTCCTCTACTGATCTGTTATAGGTATTCCTCACAGCTAATGCTTAGCTTTGAAATGAAAGAGGGGGCCTCACTGATGATCCTTCTACTCCTAGCACCTGCTAAAAACGTGCATCAGCCGTGAGTGTTTGCCGTTCTGACCCTCCCATCTTGTCGGTTGTGTCTTGCAGGAGATTAGAAACATGCACAGCGAACAGCTGATGGGCATCAGGCGAGAGGAGGAGATGGAGATGTCGGACGATGACATGGAGGATTCCCCTGACAGCAAGGACTCGGAGGACTCGGGTATGCATATGCATGCACGTATTTACAGTTCAACACGTCTGTCAACATGCGCTGATCAAGATCTTCAGGGGATGAACGCCGAGAATGTTAAATAAACGGGGGAGACGGCTGTGTTTGACTGACATGACAGTAATCATCCCCCGAGCATCTGACAAACGCCGCATGAATAGAAAAACACATTCAAAGTACATCAAAATGCTGACGCCAAGCACGCTTTACTGAGTCAATGTTGAACATGACTACTAAATGACATCCAACCCAGTCCCCCTTGTGATGCACACACCTCCGTGCGTGTACGTGAATCTGTCCACACCTGCCAGCTGCTGTCTAATATCAGATCGGGGTACCGCTGAAGTGCCATAATCCTCTGCTTCTCCCTCAAAGGAGTCTCTTTGTGTTCGCTGAAGCAACAAAAACTAACGGCGCTCCTAATCTCTCCACCGCCATTACAATAACCCATAAGTCTAGAGCAGTCGCCTGGGCAACATGCTGCATCCGTCACCACCACATGTACGCTTGTCTCTCGCCTTGTGTTTCGTGCCGTTACGCTCTCTTCACACACTCTTTCTTCTCGCCTTATAATCATTCCAAGCTAATGTGACAGCTTCTCTAATCAGCATGCACATGTATGTAAATACAGTCGTCAGCTCGGCCCCTTCTCTTTTGCAGCCTTGCTATATTTAATTTCTATATCAGCAATTAGCATTGCCGGTAAAGACCTGTCATTCCACTCGATGCAACAGGATTGGCAGAGGTGACGGGTGTTAATGTGACACTTTGTTATTTGTGTCAACAGGCTGACTGTTAACACCCCCTTTACTCACTAACCTTTTAGCAAAGGGGCATGTTTACACATCAACCAGGCCTGCTGAAAACACCTGTGTTTTGAATGCAGCCTCTTAAAAAGTAAATCAATGCTCTGCGTGTGACTCATGTACAGAATAGAAAGCAAAAGAACCGCTTGTGTGCGAGACTGTGTGCCTGTAGATGTGTGTGTGCGCGTGCACACGCACGCTCGTGGATATCTGCAGGTCGATAGCGCCGCCTGTTATGTAACAGAAGGGGAATTGCTCTGAATCTGGCCAAGCGGTTGACATCCCCTCACACCAAGTTGATGAGGCTCCCAGATCAATACTCTTCTCACCTCATACCCTCATTTTGCTGGGAGAAAAGTACACACAAACACAGCGTGGACGCGTACACACACTCGCCCAGCAAGAGTTCATTAACACTGCCAACGGTCCTCCATGATAGACTGCAGGCAGCACTCATGAACACCCACACAAAACCTAACCAGACACGCAGTCATGCACACACACACACACACACACACACACACAGAGGATGGGGCTTATCTCCCCACTCCAGTCAGTGTATTTCACTTTTCCAAAGAGCTTCGCCCCTCAAGGCCCACAGGAGGAGAGCAGAGCTGATAATACTGGACATCTCTGGAGCTGAGCAGGTTTCAAATAGTAATAACTCCCACTGTCTCGTCTCTTTGCTCAATAGGTCAGGTTAAATGTCCAGTAGGGAGCTATTGGACAAAACACTCTGGGAGTCTATGTTTGATTATCTGACACGGATTGAATATCAAAATAACAATTTACAGATAGCTTGCCAGCATGGTACCTTGACATTTTGCTTCCTTTTTTTTCATTGGGTAGATGTGTGAAGAACAATTTCGGTTTCACAAGAAAGATTTCCGGATTTGTGTCCTCGGTTTGTTTTGGCTCTGCTGTTCTCACTGGTTTGAATCGAGTGGGTCTCGGGTCAGAAAAGGGTGTTTTTTCCGCCGAAAATCCGTATTCAAGATTTCAGAACTTTTAAATTTATATCTGATGACAGTTGTGGAGTTGCTTGCTAGGCCGCTGTCAATAAAGTTGTGAAGTGGAGAGAGCAGCTGGTTCCAGTTCTTTTCTCTATTCCCGCTTCAAATTCTTCTTAAAACCATAGCCTCAATATTTGCTCTAAACAAACATCAGACTCTCACTAATACTCCAATATCCGTGAGTTTGGCCACTGCTGCTATGTAGAAGAAGCCGGTCAGAGCAGAAGTGAATTTGTGAAACAAAAACAATATTTATCAATCATCTCAAAGTAGAGCTACAGTCCCGATGAAGCTGATTAGATGAGTCTTAATGAATTAAACCCACGGATACTTTGATGCTGTTCTAGAGAGAGATCTTTTTCTGTCCTGCAGAGTAGGGCAGAGACATATTTAGCAGCAGACGCATATATCAAGAGGACATTTGTCATTTTGTGTTTCAAGATGCCGGAAATTTGCATAAAGTCAAACTGAGCTCTACTCTTTCTCCATTACGCTTTGAATTTTAAGATGCTCACCACCCTGTCATCCTACTTTCTTTGCCCGCTCTCAAATAAACAGTGAGAGATCTGCTCGCAATTGTCACCTGATATACAAGCTTCAATATTTGATAAAAAAAAAAAGCCTCACTCTGAAACTGAGACCCAGTCAACCGTGGCAGTGTTTTACACGATAAACATCATATTCCATTCTGTTCCCTGTAGCTGTTTTCCAAGCAGAAGCCTTAAAGGAGGAGAACGACTCGCTGCGCTGCCAGCTGGACGCCTACAGGAACGAGGTGGAGCTGCTCAAACAGGAACAAGGAAAGAACCAACCAATCGGCAGTGAGGAGGACAACACGCACTCTCAGCAGCTCAGCTTCCTGCAGCAGGCTCTGCAGGGCATGCAGAAGGTATCTACACGCGCGCAATCGTCTGTCCAACAATAGGTTTAATCTTCTATTCCTAACTGTTAAGCACCCGGATGTTTTCAAGAACAAAGTCTCTCAGGTTAATCCCATTGCGTTTTCAATGCAAGAAGACGGTCATTTATTCACGACCCTGCACTTTAAAAGTGAGTGCTGTGCGGGCACAAGTAGAGAAGTGCAGCTGTCTGCAGCAGCTGTTGGTCTTTTCTGAAGAGCTGCTAAAATAATTATCTTTTCAGGTTTACTCTGGTTAACGGAAAATTTATTCGCAGTTGGAATTGGTTTTATTTGGGATTGGAGGGTTTTGAGCTGTGATTCGAATAGTGCACAAAACCCAAGGCTATTAAAACCATTTCAAACCATTTATTCAAAGAAATATCATGAAATGGAGTGGATCTTTCTTTGAAAATGTGCCTCGAATACCATTCAGTACAGTATGTACTGTATGCTTAGTTCTGAATGTGGTTCTTCAGTCTTCCATTCCCAAATTAAACCCCTCTCAGTGGTTGGTACTACGGTTTACTGGCAACAAGTCCATATATTCATAAGATACAACTTGCTCTGTGTGAGACTCTGTCTGTCTGATACAGCAATAGAAGGCAGAGACAGGCATTCGATCTCTGACATTATGAAATATTAGAAAATCTGAACTTTGAGAAAATTGAGTCATATGAACAATTCATTAATTCATAAAAATATCAACATCTTAAGCTGTGGTTCAAAGTTCCTTCTTGAACTGGGAAACAATCTTCTGGAGCTTTCACCCATTTCACAAGATCTTCATAAGCAGATGGAGGAGGAAAGAACATCCATCACCGACTGTATTTCCTTGAAAGGGGAAAGAAGGAATATTTGAACATCTACAGTTTCACGTCTACTCTGCAAACATCTGCTGAGGAAGATGGTGTGATTTTGGTGACCTTGTTTTCTTCCCTACTGAATCTTTATGTTGCAACCGTTCCACTTTCTAAAGAACAACCCCTTTAATCTTAACCGTTAAGTACCGAAGAACTACTAAATTGACTCATTCTGGCATTTGTCAAGTGTCCGCACTTAGCGAGCTGTCACAGGTAATGGAAATTATGATTGATTCATGTTAAGAAGAGAATCCGTTAATGCCCTGCTGTTCATTTCTGCTCACAGAGAGTAATTACCTTTGCAGCTTACGTCTCTCGTGGTGTGTTTATGGAAAGATTAGGGGAACGGATTAAATGAACTGGACGGCACTGAAATTGGATACCTCGCCTTTCCGGGGTGTCCACATGTTGCTTCACGCAGACACATAAATTGCAATGAAATATTATCGGCGTGCGCTGGCAACCTGTTCCCTCGTTTGTGAATTATTGTGTGTGTGTGTCTCGCAAAGGCACTCGATGTGTAGTTTAGCAACAAAAAAACCCTGGCTGTAAAGACCCCCCGTGTCTCAAAGACCCTTGTTTTGTTGACATGAACACGGCAGGAGGTGCATCTTTCCATCTGCGTTCGGCAGATAAATTGCCGATCAAAGCTTTGTCTAACACCAGTTCCTGCGTCGCCCCAAAGCGAGGATAAAACCCCAATGAGCGTTACTTCTCTCACTGTGTTTTTCATCTGTGTGTAATGAGGGATTCTTTGGTGTATTACAAGCAAATGATTTGGCAAATTATTCCTCTTGGACTCATTGGAACAGAATAGAATAAGACCCTAACACAACTGTTTTCTCTTTAGTAAATGTTTATTGAAGATATTATTCATGTCGGTGTCTAATTGCTTTTTTGTTTTTGAGCTGAAGTTGTAATTACCGGTGTAGGGATTACATGCTAAATATTAATAAAACGAACGGCTGATTGTTCCTCTTTCAGTAGGTTAGTATTTTCACGGCTAGTTAGCATTTGTGGCTTACTGTTCTCCCCTTTTTGTGTTTTTGCAGCAACTCTTAAAAATGAGGGATGAATTAAAACAGCGGGAGGCAGAGCTGGAGAAGAGTTTTGAGGACAAACAGCAGCTGAACAACCAAGTCCTGAACCTGAAGGAAGGACTCCAGAACCTGCAAAACACGCACGTGATGCAGGTTAGTCTGACAGAAAACACACATTACACAGCTGGGTTTCCTGAGAGCGAAGCGAGGGGAAGAATCTACCACGTTTCCTTTTTTTTTTTTTTTTTACATATGAAAGTTCATTTCTGGGTTACTCTCTTTGCTTGAAAGTGAACATTATCTAATTTGCACTTTAATAAGAAAGAAATTAGTTTCCACGCATGAAAGATACTTGAGGAATAAATCCTCGATAAACAAAAGGACGTGATGTGATTGTGGTAATGTGGAGTTTTGGGTCGAGGAAATGACTCAATAACTTGAACTAGTTTAAAACTTATTTCAAAGCTCATCAGATATCCCAAAGTAGCTATTTTGGGTTCGATCTGTGTGATATTAACACTGAGAGAAAAGACCTACCGCAGTGAGACAGACGTTCTCCAACTTCAATGTTCTGGATTCCCATTTTCCTCCCAGGGAGCCCATTTCATTCTTCTTTAACTCAGAGTCTAATCGACTGTTTCGTTTCTAATTTCCCTCCAAAAATGTTTATGATGCAGCTTTCACGTTTTAAGTCTAGTAAAATGATTTCCCTTTACTTTGCTCTGGTTATTGTGCATAATTCCTCTCGTAGAAATCATACCAATAATCATCTGAAGGACTATTTTAGGTTCTTTGTGTGTACTTACGTTGTTTTTCTTTCTGTTCTTCAAAGTTTGTTGTGCATCAGTGTGAAAAACCTTCATAGACGGTTCACACAAACATGTTCACAACAGTGTCTCACAAAGGTAATAAATTACAGTGTTGGCTACACCACTGTATGTCTTTAGTGCTGAACCGATGAGTTGATTCATCTATTAGTACGTTGGCAGAAAAATAAAATCATGCATTTGGGTTTTGAGGTGTTAAAAACATGCAACTTGATGGCTCACCTCATCACTTACATGGTATCGTTTGCATGTTAGGAAGCAATTTTTCGATGTCCGGAATAAAAATATGGGCATGTAAGTGGGAAAATGCCAACCTATCCATTAGTAAGGAGTGCCCGGTGGAGGAGTAAGATTTAGTTGGATCTTAACTCTACGTTGAGAATTAGTTCAAACTTATCTAAAACATAGCTGGTGCACCAGCCTGCTGTCGCTGGAATTTCCATTACAAAAGTACAAATCATACAAAACATGATAAATACACACAGTAACAGAAAATGATGTACATAAAGTCGTCTCGCAACATTTTTATATACCTAAAAAAATACATTATCTATTACAAAACCCCTCCATTATTACATAGAAACTAAACATGTTGGCTCCTTCCTTTTGTTGTTGGTCAACTCCTCTGTTCTCAGTGCGACCACGTAAAAAGAACCAGAAGAAATCCATTAATTTCACAACTAGAGACACATCGAGCACGGTCGACCGCAGTCAAATCGCTGCCATATTTGTCTCGCAGCTGAGATTTCATGTGACACTGACGACCAGCAACCCAATCACATTCCTCTCTGATTCCCCAACATCTCGTCCCGCGGGCTACATCGGCTCTGGCCAAGATATCACGTGATCAATACGTGCGCACGGTATTAGTGTGATTGCCGCATGGGGAGGTATTACAGAAGACATTGCACAGATGTGAACCACTGGTGCCGTCGCAGAGCTGTTGCACACGGCCACACCGTCTGTTCGAGCCACTCCTGCTGCATTAGTCATCCATCCCAACATCCCATTTGTCATTTGATTGAACGCGTTGCTTACATTGAGGCGTGTTTTTCCCCCGACAAAGCTCCATCTGAAATTGATTAGAGGCGAGCTGTTGCGCTACAAGAGTATACGCTGCTAAATACAATGCAGCGTGATCTACAGTCTTATTAAACAATTTCAGCTTTCAAGGGCCATTTTTCTCTGTTAGGCGTGTCGTGTTTACAAATGTTTCAGGTGTTGTCCCTTATTCCCAGGATTCAAGTGCTAATGCTTGTCAATGTTCCTTCTGGCCTGGTGTAATGAGAGGAAGGGCTGCCATTGAGATGAGCCTCAGGTTCAACCGCCTATTAAATTGGATAATAATACGAACGAGAGGCTCTCAATCCACGCGGGGCTCTCTGTGTGCTGTCTGTGGGCTTTCAAATGTACTGCAGGTTTCCTGTAACGCAGAGCTGAATTTGTAATTAGCTAAAGCGTCTCTTCACTCACATCAACCGGAGTTGTCAATAGCCCGTTAATGGTGATGAGTTTGATTAGAAATGTGTCGCCATGACTGCGAGCTCGGGGAAAATATGCTAATTAAATTCCTGCATGTGGGCAAACATGAATCATGAGAGGCAGTCTCATTAAAGGAGGAAAGAGAAATCAATTTTTGGGGTGAGGGTTTCTCTGAAGATAAGCTGTCGCTTTGTGTTATTTGTCACGTTGACGAGATCTCTTCATGCCATCAGTTATCCTTCACAGGTCCTTCTGTCATCACACACTACTGGATTGACACCAGTGCAGGTCCTTGAGGCCATGAACCTTATTACTATTGTGATCAAAGCAAACGCCTCGTGACTTTTTCTCCATACATATATTTTAGTGCTGGCACTGATGATTATTTTTGTTATTGATTGATCTTGGTCAAAATCGAACCGGCAGAGGCTGAAATATTAATCGAGCTCCGAAAATGCTCAATGCAAAGCAACAGCGTCTTTAAATGTGACTCTTGTCTGGTAAATGTCTTTAAAACGCCACACCAGGCTTTTTTTTCAGGCTCGCTGTCGATGTTTAAGAGTCTTGAGCTCAACGTTGTTCTGTCAGTACTTCGAAAGCTCCCTTCAGAGCTACAGAGGACATTATACAGCCGGCACAAGCCGAGTGCTCCAACAAGTGAACTGATGTTCGTGTGGAGATGTTAGAAAATACTGAAAAATGCTCATCGTAGTTCCCCAGGGCCACAGACGGTGTCTCTTAAAATTGCTGGTTTTGTCCAAAAAACAGTCCGAAAACTAAAGATACTCAATTCAAATGGCACAAAACAGAGAAAAGCAGTAAATACGTCTGTTTAAGAAGCTGGAACCAGAGACGCTTTAGCTTTTCTGAAACGGTGACTCAATACATTTGATGTTGATAATCCTGTGATTACCACCCAGGGGTACTTGTACATTTAATTGCGGTGTTTGTAAAGATTGTAGAGTAGCTATGCTGATTTAATCAAATAGAAATTAAGATTTTGTGATATAATAATCATCAGAATAACCGATAACCTTTCAGCTACCACAGGCCAACTACCCATGGACATTGCTCAGTTTCCCTTTGACGTGACTCTGTTCACCACCTTAATACTAGATGTTGCAGAACAAAGAGACTTCCTGTCTGTTGAGGAGGCACAGGGACCTGGAGCCCACCGTGCAGGGCTGTGGGCGTTCTTCCAAACAGAAAGGTTGTGAGCACTGGTCTGATGGAACAATACAGTAATTATCTCTGCACCAATATATTCCCAGGAAATCCGAACCCACAAAGTCTTTCATTGTTGCAAAATTAATAGCTCACGTTAATTATATCCAAATGTAGTTGAGCGTCTCTTGTTTTCCCCGTTTGTTCAAAGTCAGCACATTTCTGGACATTATTCTAAAAATAGACGATGCCTGTGTTTGCACGCCATGCTGTGCTCGCCCCCTCGTCAGTCTGACATTAGCGCTGAGCTTCTTTTTTTCTCTGTGGTTCTTTTCCCTCATATGTCTCTAATGCGCTGCAGCTGGAGACGTCGAAGGAAGACGACGGAGGCAGCGAGGAGAGCGCTAATCAAACCAGCGTAAGTGGGAAAAGGTTGAGCCCTCTCTCCCCACTCCTCTCCACATATTGCTTTGTGTCCTCATTCTCCCTTCTTCTTCTTCTTCCTCCTCTGACACTCTCGCTAACCTCTGCCAGTGACATGACGGATCATTAAGGGCCAATCCAGTTCACTGCAACTGCATGTGTCATTGAATAAATCACCCAGACACAACTGGGCTAGGAAATACAGAACTCATAAAGTCAAAATGGCTCGCACATGTGCACATGTCCCCACACCCACACACAGTATTGTAAGTGTTGTGGATAGATTAGAAACGGAAAAGGGCCACCAGGCATCTCGCACCATAAGTGGAAATAGTACACACACAATACCGTGTAGGACAACAAGCAGACAAAAAACTCTTCCGCCATTTTTCTGCCACCTGTCAGATCTGAAACAAACAGCTTGATCATTTCCTTTCCAAGTCTCTCTCTCTCTCTCTCTCTCTCTCTCTCTCTCTCTATATACTGTATATATATATATTTTTTTGTTCTTCTTCCACTCATCCTTCCTTTGTGTGTGTGTGTGTGTGTGTGACATGCATTTCATCCCTCTATCAGAAATATAGCCTCTGGCAAACAATTCTCCCTCGCCTCATTACCCTCGTCTTCATTGTCTCTCCGTATTAATGTGTTGGTCGTGAAACTTCCTGATGTTTTCATTCTCATTCATGTCCGTCTGTTTACTGCGTGCCATGCATCGGCTCAAGTTTAAGCTTGTTTACTTCTCGTCAGCCACAGTAGCTGGGAGCAGATTCCTTTAACGTAACTGTCTAACTGTGTGTGTGTGTGTGTGTGTGTGTGTGTGTGTGTGTGTGTGTGTGT